GTGCTTCAAACAATGTTAAATGTTAATATTTTTGGCTGAAAGTGGGAGAAGCTTCGCCCGATAAAAAAAATGTGGTTTCGAGAAAAACGCGTTTAAAGTTTTGACTTTAGTTAAAACCATTTGGGGGTTCTTACCATTAGTCAGCTATGCCTGGACACCGAATTCGCTGATCGGAAAACGGCTTGGGGGGATGAAAGTATATAGTCTAAAATACAAAAAAACGTGAAAAAAAAAATTTTGATTTTTTGAAAAAAAAGATCGGGAATGGGAAAACAAACCGTTCATTCATTCATGTGTGATAGAGATAGAGAAAGACGATTAAACGCGAGATTAAACGTCAAAAAGGTCTATAGTGGCTTTTAACGAAAGTGAGTAGATTCTTAAGGCCGGCGCACAATAGATACGTTTTCAGGTTTTTTGACAGTTAGCCCATGTATTATAAAAACACAAAACGTATAACATCTGACAGACCCTCTCATCTCCGCATTTAACATCGATTATTTCACAACTCTGGGTAGTTATGTAAATAAACCAACCAACCGACAATTCCTCAATGCTTTTCGAGCTGCCGACGTATCTTCACTGCAAAACAAAAACCGGTGTATCTGATTTGACGTATGTGAAAACCCTTCTGTCAAATAGACGAATCTTGCAGGGTGTATGTAACAATCAAGGTGTGATACCGACGAATCAATCAGGGTGTATGTGAGTAGTACACAAGTAAAAGGTGTATGACTTTGTTTTATCAAAAGTCTTTTCCGTGTTTGCAAAACTCGACATTTTTCACAATTCTCTTAAACGCTATCCCTTTATCCAACTAATAGCACAAATAGATTTAAAAAATAGCATTAACTTTTAAATAGCATTTAATAATCTCATATATTTCTACAATTCAATTTGAAAATTTGAACTTTTAAAAGTATCGAGCGGACAACTTTTGAATTGACGGTTGGTTGACTTTTATTTTGAAAGCTAACCGCTTTCTACCAAAAAGAACCAATGCAAACTTTTAAATCTACACGAAACGGAAATCAATTATTTAATTCATGTGTTTCACTTATACATTTTTGCCAAAGCATCAGCCTTATACATTCCATAAAACAAACTACATAGGTCCTATTAGAATGCATGAAAGGTATGTGTGACCGCTTATACATTTCATTTGACACATGATCTTTATTAACTTTTTGCAAGGCGTCTGCACCAAACCTGAGCGTCTGCTCACCATGGAGGTGCGGCTCAAAACGGCGTCTGTTCTCCATGTTAGGAGCGGCTGATCACCGTCCTAGTGCCAGCGTGGGACTCTAAACAGAGCTGTGCACGATGGTCCCCCGGCGAGACAGGGGGTTGGGGCAGGCCCAACAAGCCGCCCTGGAAAAAAACAGAGTTGCAAATACCGAAGAAAGAAATACGGATCGGAACAATCGGCACAGACCTACGCGACGAAATAAGGACTACGATTGGAAACTCGGAACATGGAACTGCAAATCGCTCGGCTTCCCGGGTTGCGATAGGTTAATCTATGACGAACTTCAACCACGCAACTTCGAAGTCGTAGCACTGCAGAAACTTTGCTGGACGGGACAAAAGGTATGGAAAAGCGGGCATCGAGCGGCTACTTTCTACCAGAGCTGTGGCACCACCAACGAGCTGGGAACCGGCTTTGTAGTGCTGGGTAAGATGCGCCAACGCGTGATTGGTTGGCTGCCGATCAACGCGAGGATGTGCAAGTTGAGGATTAAGGGCCGTTTCTTCAACTACAGCATCATCAACGTGCACTGCCCACACGAAGGGAGACCCGACGACGAGACAAAGCGTTCTATGCGCAGCTGGAGCAGGTGTACGACGGCTGTTCGCAACGGGACGTCAAAATCGTCATCAGCGACATGAACGCTCAGGTAGGACGGGAGGCAATGTATAGACCGGCAATCGGGCCAAACAGCCTGCATGCCGTATCGAACGACAACGGCCAACGATGCGTGACCTTTGCAGCCTCCCGGGGTATGGTAGTTCGAAGTACCTTTTTCCCCCGCAAGGATATCCACAAAGCCACCTGGAGATCACCTGACCAACACACAGAAAACCAAATCGATCACGTTCTAATCGACGGGAAATTCTTCTCCGACATTATCAACGTCCGCACGTACCGCAGTGCGAACATAGATTCGGACCACTACCTAGTTGCAGTATGCATGCGCTCAAAACTCTCGACGGTGCATAACACACGTCGAAGTCGAACGCCACGACCCAACATTGAGCAACTACGGGACACCGGAGTTGCCCAGGACTACGCGCAGCAGCTGGAAGTTGCACTACCCACGGAAGAGCAGCTTGGCGCAGCTTCTCTTGAAGATGGCTGGAGGGACATCCGTTCAGCCATAGGTAGTACTGCTGTAGCGGCACTAGGTACTGCAATCCCGGACCGAAGAAATGACTGGTTTGACGGCGAATGCAAACTGTTAGTAGAGGAGAAGCATGCAGCACGGGCGAGAATGCTGCAACACCGCACGAGATTGAATGTGGAGCGATACAGACAAGCGCGGAACAGACAAAACTCGGTTTTCCGAAGGAAGAAGCGTCTGCAGGAAGATCGAGATCGCGAGGCGATGGAAAATCTGTACCGCGTAAACGACACACGGAAGTTCTACGAGAAGCTAAATAGTTCGCGCAAAGGCTACGTGCCGCAAGCCGATATGTGCAAGGACTTGGACGGTAACCTTCTCACGAACGAGTGTGAGGTGATTGAGAGGTGGAAGCAGTACTATGACGAGCACCTCAACGGTGAAGCAGCAGAAAACGAAGGTGGCACGGCAACAGACCTTGGAGCACGCGCAGAAGACGACAGGCTACCGGCCCCTGATCTTCAAGAAGTTGAGGAGGAGATCGGTCGGCTAAAGAACAACAAAGCAACTGGTGTAGATCAACTACCAAGTGAGCTATTGAAATACGGTGGTGAAGCACTGGCTAGAGCGCTGCACTGGGTAATTGCCAAGATTTGGGAGGAGGAGATATTACCGGAGGAGTGGATGGAAGGTGTCGTATGCCCAATCTACAAAAAGGGCGACAAGTTGGATTGCTGCAACTACCGCGCGATCACACTGCTGAGCGCCGCCTACAAGGTACTCTCCCAAATTCTATGCCGCCGTCTGTCACCATATGCAAGAGAGTTCGTGGGGCAATACCAGGCGGGATTCATGGGTGCCCGCGCTACCACGGACCAAATTTTCGCGATTCGGCAGGTTCTGCAGAAATGCCGCGAATACAACGTGCCCACACATCATTTGTTAATCGATTTCAAATCCGCATACGACACAATCGATCGAGATCAGCTATGGCAGATTATGCACGAGTACGGATTTCCGGATAAACTGACGCGATTGGTCAAGGCGACGATGGATCGAGTGACGTGCGTTGTTCGAGTATCGGGGACACTCTCGAGTCCCTTTGAATCTCGAAGGGGGTTACGGCAGGGTGATGGACTTTCGTGTCTGCTGTTCAACATCGCGTTAGAAGGTGTGATCAGAAGAGCTGGGATAGACACGAGTGGCACGATATTCAGGAAGTCCATCCAGCTCCTTGGTTTCGCCGATGACATTGAAATTATGGCACGGAACTTTGAGATGATGGCGGAAACGTACATCAGACTGAAGGCTGAAGCTAGACAGATTGGACTTGCCATCAACGCATCAAAGACAAAATATATGAAAGCAAGAGGTTCTAGGGAAGACAATGTTAGCCTCCCACCCCGAGTTCAGATTGACGGTGACGAAATCGAGGTGGTCGATGAGTTCGTGTATTTGGGCTCACTGGTGACCGCCGAAAATGATACCAGCAGAGAAATTCAAAGACGCATTATGGCAGGGAATCGTGCCTACTTTGGACTCCGGAGGACGCTCCGGTCGAATAAAATTCGCCGCCGCACGAAGTTGACTGTCTACAAGACGCTGATTAGACCGGTGGTCCTTTACGGCCACGAGACCTGGACTATGCTCGTGGAGGACCAACGCGCCCTTGGTGTTTTCGAACGGAAGGTGTTGCGTACCATCTACGGTGGAGTGCAGATGGATGACGGAACGTGAAGGAGGCGAATGAACCACGAATTGCACCAGCTGCTGGGAGAACCATCCATCGTCCACATTGCAAAAATTGGGCGACTACGGTGGGCTGGGCACGTCGTAAGAATGCCGCACGACGACCCAGTGAAAATGGTTCTAGAAAGCGACCCAACAGGAACAAGAAGAAGAGGCGCGCAGCGGGCAAGGTGGATCGACCAAGTAGAAGGTGACCTGCGGACCCTTCGCAGACTACGAGGCTGGCGAACTGTGGCCATGGATCGAGTAGAGTGGAGACGACTTCTTCGGACAGCAGAGGACAACAAGGCCTTAGCCTGATTGGTAAGGTAAGTAAGGCGTCTGCTTATTAGTTGACTTATACATTTTATGAATAATCAGCAATGGAAATTTGCCAAAAGGTATAAGGAGATTTCTATCCGTGTACCAATGGTTTTTTAAATTTTATAAACGACCTTTCTTTGTGTGTATAGACATTGCTATCCAATGTTTCTAATTTTCTATCCAATGTTACATACGTCCTTTTGAAAAGTTATGCTTGATATATACATTTTCGGGTTTTTTGACAGAAAATGCATGGGCTAACTGTCAAAAAACCTGCCAGTTAGCCCAGGCATTATCTGTCACAAAACCCGGAAACTTATGCAATTCGCCTTGACACCAGTCCCGAAGTGACGTTTCTTCACACACATTTTGACAGTTCCTTATGGGGTTTTGCGTTGGAGTGAGAGAGTAAGAAAAAGTCCGCCATGTTTCACACATAGACTGACAGTTACATATGAGATTTCTCCATATGAGTAAAGAGTTACAGAGCTCTCGTCAACGCCAATATGCACCAGCATTTACTCACTTGAGAGGGAAAATACTCGATCGTGTATACAATATTCTTTACTTTCAGCTTCAGGGATCGAAAAAAACAAACTGTGCATTTTGTGCAGCATTTGTTTTGCAAAAGTGGACAAATTGTGCGCTAAATTCATTTTATTTTCAGCTCATTGCTTGAAAATAGTGTACAATGGGTGGCGGTGATTTGGTAAGCATTAGTTGCGGTTTTCGAGACACTCAGCAATTATTTTCCAACCTTTTTTTTAGAACACGAAGAAATCGTGGCACCCAAACACGTTCAAGAATCAAGAACGCGTCTGGAAAGCCGAACAAGCAGATGCTGCGGAGAAGAGGAAACTCGCTGAACTGCAGCATGAAATCAACGAGGAACGCAATCGGGAGGAACTGAAGAGCATCGCTAAGAAATCTGGATTGCTTCCGGATACTGATGGGGACCGTAAGCTTGAATGGATGTACAAAGGGCCGCAGGTCAATCGGGACGAATATTTGATGGGTCGTGCGGTAGATAAGAATTTCGAAAAGCTAGATTCGCAGGAGAAAGCTGGTACCAGTGTAGGAATCACGCAGCCGAAGAATCATGTGGAGCATGAGTGCATTCCGTTTTCGATCCGGCAGTACAAGGGGCTGGAGGGAACGGAACAGGTTGACATGGTTCGCAAATTGATGGAGGATCCGCTGATGGCTATCAAGCAGAAAGAAATTGAAAGCCGACAGAAGATTCTCGAGAATCCGGTCAAATTGAAAGAGTTGCATCGGCTGCTGAAGAATGATAAGAGCATCAAGGAGAAGAAGGGCAAAAAGAAAGACAAGAAGGAGAAAAAGAGTAAGTAGCGATGCTGAATTCAAGGTTGCAAATGCTCAATGAGCATAAAAATATGGAATAATTAAATCATAAGATGTTATGATCACATGTTTGTAAAGGATTAGTATGTGTTTGGCTTTTACTTTTAAAACCTGTCAATAATTTAGGTTTTTGATAAAAAAATATTAATATCAGTGCCAACATTTCAAAGGGGCGTAATTGCTTTTGTAAACAATGACTTTAGCCGTCAATTTCTCGCGAATGAAATCTCACCTCTCCCAAATGACAATGCTAACTGGTAGAGGAAACATTCCTCTACCTGCTGGTGTCATTATTTTTAATGAGTGAGCTTTTATTTACGAGAAATCGACGGCTAAAGCCATTGTTTACAAATGCAATTACGCCCCTTTGAAATGTTGGCACTGATATAATTTATATATTGCATTTGAAACTGGACTGGAACTGAGGAGATGACTCCAAAATAATTTATTGTAAAAGCACACTTTTAAAGCGATTTCGTATTTGCAATGTACGCAATGCACAATAATATCTAATCACTTCATAATTAAAAAAAGTTTAATGCGAAATGATTATTTGCAACCTTGGCTGAATTAATTTTCAGAGAAGTTAAATATTTAATGTTCTTCATTTGTTTCAGAAAAATCTAAGAAGAAGAAGCATAAGAGGCGAGGAAGCTCTAGCAGTGGTTCAGAGTCACATGATGATGATGATAAAGGTAAAGACTTGGACAAATTGCTGGCCGAAAAATACAAAAAGGTTCAAAGCTCCATGGGGTCTGAGAAGAGTGAAGAGGTTGGTTTGGATAAGCTTTTGACTATGAAATATCAGAAGCTGTCCAAGGAGCTCAACAAAATGGCCAAGCCTAAGAAGTCGAAGAAGAAGAAGAAGCACGGAAGCAGTAGTTCCGAGGAAGACTCTGATTCGAATATTGCTGATGATTCCCGACAAAGAAAACAAAGATCTGTATCGAAAGATATGAGGCGGCCACCGCCTGCATCATCTCGTAACAGATCGCGAAGCCTCGACCGGGAAAGGCGGTTCAGAAATCGATCGAGAAGCCCCGTTCAGGATCGTAGGAAGCCAACTGAGGAGAGAAGAGATCGACATCATTCACGTAGTCGAGATCGGAAGCGTTCCCGTTCGAACGAGCGAGAACGTCGCCGTAAATCGCCGACTCCGTCGAGTTCAAGCTCAGAATCGCCTCCTTCGAGACATCAGTATGATTCCGACGATGAGAGGCGACGACCAGCCGCGAAAAATTTTGGTTTGGTCTCTGCTTCCGGTAAGAAACTGGAACTGTCGAAACGGGATGAGGTGCGCTTGTATAAGCGTGAGGAGATAAAGGCCCACCAGTCCAGCCAGAAGGCCTCGTGGAGTCGTCCGGAGAAGAAAAAACCACTAACCGAAGAGGAGATGGAAGCCAAACGTAGGGCAATGTTGAGTAATGCCGATTGGAGGGATAAAGAGCGTAAGCAGAATGTGATGCGCTACGAAGACGAAGAACGAAAGCAGGACGAAAAGGAGCGTGCAAAGAAGTATGATAAGGACTTCGTCACCAAACAGTTCAAACATGCTGCCAACCACGAGACGGTGGAAAAACGCATTAAATCCAATCGTAATAACATTCAGCGGTCGGGTGGGGCCATGAATGACCATTTTGCTAAACGATAGAGTTGTAATCGTTCAGTGGTAACTTACAATGTATTTAACAGTAATAAATCCAGGCATAATGCCAGAAAATGAGTGCAATTCTACGTTCATTCATTTCATCTCTTCGGAAATGTGGATTAACCCTGTACGTGAGGAAATTATGGGTACCCCTAAAATTCTCAAAGTAAAGTATGGACTGAAGAGGCTGAAATTATTCAATCTCTTTAGTATGGACGTACCGTACTTGGGGTGACATTGGGCCAAATCAATCAAAATTTTTCGATCCCTTCCTGACAACATTCACGTTTTAGTATGGAAAATATGCCGTATGTATGTCAGCGCTATGCTATGCGAGCATCTGCGAAGCGCTGCCACGCACGTATGTTCATTTTCAGACCACAAGGCTCTAACAGCGCGTTGAGCCACGAGAAAAGAGTTTCCAAAGTTTTGTTCGCAATAGCTGATGTGCTCTTTTCTGTTGTTGGTCGTGATTTGCTCGATTGGTTCCGCTATTTGACAGCTGAATTGGTTCCCGAGATTCTATCCGCCAGACTATGAATATAGCGACTATAACTCTTTTCTCGTGACTCAACGCGCGCCTACGCAAACTTAGGTTGAGGAAAGTTTTCCCTATCAGATGATACCGATAATTTGCGTTCGAGGAATCATCAATGTTTATAAAAGTTGATAGTACCATTTCAATTGTTGGTCTAAAATATAGTGAATTGGTTCCGCTTTTTGATAGATCGAAATTCTATCCGCCAGACTATGAATATAGCGACTATAGGCGAGGCAGGTTGGGGAAGAAACGTTTATAAACGAGAGAGTCGTACCCGAGAACGACGAATCCAAGGATGCTCTAATGGCAGAGATCACTATTGACGATTTGAAAAATGCCATCCGAACATCGCAGAAACGAAAATCGCCAGGTACCGATGGCCTACCGGTAGAGTTCTACCTACGAACATTCGACGTCATCTATCGGGAGCTGTACTTCGTAATAAATGAGGCTATGACGAATGAGCTCCCGTCGGAATTCACCGATGGCACAATCGTGCTGGTCAAAAAGAGTGTGGCGATGGGACAGCGAGAGCATACCGTCCGATTAGCCTGCTCAACGTCGATTATAAAATTCTTAGCCGTGTGATGGAGGCCCGTTTGGAACGCGTGCTGCAGATACATCGAGTTCTAAGTGACGCTCAAAAATGCGCCAACACCGACCGCTCTATTTTTCAAGCTACACTCTCGCTCAAGGATCGTGTGGCTCAGCTTATCGCAAGAAAACAGAAAGGGAAGCTGATCTCGTTCGACCTAGACCACGCGTTTGATCGGGTCTCTCATGAGTTTCTTCATCGAACCCTTCTCTCTCTGGGTATCAATCATGATTTCGTCGGCTGGCTCTCTCGAGTGGCCGATACCTCTTCATCGTCGTGATAATGTCAGTAAGTGAATGGGCACCTTTCACAGTCGATCCGCATAGAACGATCCGTACGTCAGGGAGATCCGATGTCGATGCTGCTCGTTGTGCTATACCTCCATCCCCTCCCCACACGGGTGGAGCGTGTGTGTGGCGGTGATCTTTGCGTTGCGTACGCTGACGATATCACGGTGATAGCAACATCAACGCAAACAATTGAACGGATCTTTCAGCTGTTCGACAGCTTTGTAGTCGTTGCCGGGGCAAAACTAAATCGCCATAAAACAGTGGCAATCGATGTCGGATTCATCAATGGAGATCCACTGTTGATTCCACGACTACAGAATACAGAGAAGGTGAAGGTTCTGGGTGTTATTTTTGCAAACTCAGTGCGGCTGATGGTGAAGCTAAACTGAGATACGCTAATAAACAAAATTCGGCAGCTTATATGGATGCATAACATGCGCTCCCTTACCCTGCAGCAAAAGGTAATATTACTAAACACCTTCATCACAGCGAAGGTGTGGTACCTCTCTTCCATAATACCACCGCAATGTATCCACACGGCAAAGCTGACAGCGACAATGGGGACTTTCCTGTTTCGAGGATTGGCACGTGTCCCGATGCAGCAGCTGGCGCGCAGTAAAGAGCATGGAGGACTAAAACTGATATTGCCAGCGATCAAGCGCTTCTCGTCAATCGCCATCTTCAAGAGATCGATTCCCTTCCCCATTATCAGTCCCTTCTTGCCCAAAATATTCCTCCCCCTGCCGATCTTCCCTGCCTAAAACTCCTCTCTCAGCAATTTTCCTTGTATCCCCACCAGCGATCAAATTCACCGCTTCTATCTGGAGTAAACCGAGATACCAAAAGTGGAACGGAACCAGCCAGGCCTAAACTGGAAGAAGATATGGGCAAACATTTCATCAAGAAGACTGTCATCGATCCAGCGCAGCGATCTCTACTTGTTAGTGAACGAAAAAATGGAGCACCGCAGACTGATGAACATCATCGGCCGTGCAAACGACCCGCATTGTCAGCACTGCATGGTGGTGACCGAATCTTTGCAACACAAGTTCAGTGAGTGCCCTCGAGTAACCGCGGCATGGGCGTACGTGCAACGAAGGATGACGATGACACTCGGTGGGTGGCAAAGGCCTACTTTCGAAGACCTTCTACGCCCGATCCTGGGTACAATTGCAACAGAGACAAGAATCAATTTACTTGTAGGTGAGCTAGAGTTTGATCTAGCAGAATATTTTTTTTTATCTGTTTGAATGTGTTATTTATTATTAAAAACTAAATAAACAATATTTCTACAAAAAAAAAAAAAAAACATGGACGCATAGTGGTATAAGAGCTATTATGCTGCCCGTAGCCACCTTTATTCAGCAATATTGTAAAGTAATGCAATGAAATCTAATAATGGAGCTACAGAACATTTATTAGACGTCTAATAAAGCATGTTATCAATTGAAAACAGTCGAAATAAAGTGTCAATGTATGTACAAACTACAGTTATTCAGTTTTTCATTAGATCAAACTTCTGGCGTTGATTTGAGAAGACAGTCAACGTTTATACAGCTTTTAATAAGAAAATTAATCAGATCTTAGCAAACAGTGGAATAAATGTGCATCTATCGATCTCAATGAGGTCATCTATCGATCTCAATGAGGTTTCTTCAGCACATAACTCGACTACTTGTTTTATTAAGCATTGTACACTGTAATACAGCATTTATTCAATATATATGCTTATTTGTGACTTTGAATTTTTTGTTGGGTTTTACCATGCAGAATATTGTGGCAATAACGACATGGTGATCGGGGTCTCGCTCTTCCCCCATCAACCAGTGCACAACCCAACAAACAATTGAGAGCTCTTATAAAACACCTGAGTTGATCAAACGTTGAATAATAGCTTCCAGAGTTGAACAAGAATGTAGTTGTATTGCCATTTGATTAAAAGTTTTAAAAGCTGTTGAAGCACTCTTAAATGATTGTTTACGTTCGGTTTAACTATATGCTTTATAAGACCTACGATAACTTTTATAGCACCTTAGTTAAACTGATTCACAAGAGCTATACAGAACGTGGAATAAACGCATCAAAACAAACAATTGGGAGCTCTTATAAAACACCTGAGTTGATCAAACGTTGAATAATAGCTTCCAGAGTTGTACAAGAATGTAGATGTATTGCCTTTTTGGTTAAACGCTTCAAAAGATGCTTGGAGCACTCTTAAATGATTGTTTACATTCGGTTAAACTGTTTGACAGGAGCCATATAGGATGTGGAATAAACGCATCAAAACAAACCATTGGGAGCTCTTATACAACACCTGAGTTGATCAAACGTTGAATAATAGCTTCCAGAGTTGTACAAGAATGTAGTTGTATTGCCATTTGGTTAAAAGCTTCAAAAACTGCTTGGAGCACTCTTAAATGATTGTTTACGTTCGACCAACCACAATTTTGTTGCTAAAAATAGCACAAGTGATAGGCATGTTTAAATAATCATAAGGCAATGATTATTCGACTGCAAGAGAAGTTACTCAAGATGAGCTTGATATACTTCTCTCATATGATCAAAATATGTATTCAAGAATAGAGCAGATGGAAACAGAAGCGGCTGGCAATCCGGGATCATGAGTTCGAATCTTGCTTCGAGAAACTTTTGGTGGAGTAGAGGTAAATTATATATAGGTGTTATTAATAAATGCAAACATTAATTTAAGACATATATCATATAATCAACGATAACATTTCTAGATAAATTCTCTCAATTAATGATTAGAGAGATTAATTGAAAGAATATCAATCAAAGATTAAACAGATGCTTGTTACTACTTCCTCCATGATCACAGAATGTGAATTATGGCATAATTAAATATTTTTTCAATGTGCACAAATAAATTAAATTAATAAAAACTGTACAAGCAATTATTTTGGCGTACCACGACAATTGTTAAACTAATTTTAATCTGTGAATATTGTGAGTACTTACACAACGGTTATTAAGGAGTCATTAAAAAGTGCTATAAACGGTTTTCACCGCTTGCTGTTCAATTAATATTTAGGAGTCATAAAAGAGTGTAACAAACGCCTCTCAGGTTCAATCTCTAATACATTTTGAAGCAGCTGTTAGGAGGTGTCTACAAACGTTGTATTAGAGCTTTCACCAAAACAATAAAGCTTGAGTTTAAATAAGTATCTATAAACGTTGTATAAAAGTTGCTTCTATCCGGTTGTTAAGGATGTGGACAAAACAACCAGCCAACAGGAAGCAACACATGCGGAAAAGGACGAAAAAGGAACTTCGGATAATGAAACTTAGAACAACCGATTACAGTACTACATAATTATATTTACGTCCAACATACACGAGTTGTTGTCTGCTATTGAAAGAAATAAAACAAACATCGCTACACACTGAAAAATATCAGATCAGTATCTCGAATTCAACTACCTTACCAAGGTGTGTGTAGATAGGTGGTCAATGATATTCTCCCACACTCCTCCTCAATGATCACCGCAGAAATTCATCCGATGAATCCAGTTTGTTCCAACATCTGTCGAAACTTGGTCGCTCCCAACGGTTTTGTTAGTGCATCAGCTATCATCATCTCTGATGGACAGAACTCCAATTTCACAACGCCTTGATTT